ATTTTCAAAATATCACATACCGCATCTTTGTAAGTATACAGCACTCACGGCAGTCTGCTAATCCGTTGATCCGTGAGAGAGAATCAAAGTGACGCTTAAGTACGTTTAATTCAGGGTGTCTCGTAGTTGTTATTTATGGAAATTTGTTCGCGTCGCTCTCCGTACGACCAAACTGCCAACAGTGCCAACTCGTGAATCAGAAATCGTCGATTCCATTCTCCATTGTCAGTCTTCACTATATTTGGAATTGTGCATTTATGCTTCCGAGATGGAAGAAAGCGTGTTGCCGATTAATGTAAATTTTCGTCTGGGGAAAAGTTATAATTCTTCAAAGCCTTATCTTTGAATGATTCATCTCGCGATTGGAGATTACGCGAATATTACCTACTTATCGGAATATAGGGTCATGTCACGATGCGCTAACGACAATCGGAATGAATATATCGTCATTACAAACGTCTAGTAGCTACAACAGTTCCTCAGCTCCTCATCAAGGCAAATAACAACTGTCAAGGTTACTGAAGAGATATATTAATTGCAGACATCTCTCATCGATAAGTCGCTCTTTGGCTATGGGAAAGAGCGCACGAGTGCACTCGCTCGCGCGCGTTTCTGTTTGCGGTGGACTACGAAAGAAGGACTACCTCCTCTTATGCGCGTTTTCGAGGACAAAAAAGACCTTGAAAAATCCTCCGACTAGAGTCACCGACATTCCCGCGGGAGTCATTCCATTATATTTAAATTAGATGACTACACCCTACATCAAAACCTGTGTGGCTAATTCACACATAGCACTTGTTTATCTGGTTTATCATGTGTATATATGTATATATATCATGCAAATACTCCATTATCGTACGATATTTTTGTGTATTCTTCAAATTAATTAGATTCAAAAATTCTGCTGTGAAAACGGCGAGATTTTAATAATTTTCGACTTACGACCAATTAGAGTTACGGTCAATAGTATCACGCATAAAGATCCTATATCTAAATCTGTACTTGTGCTTGCAGTGACTTATGCTTACTTGATGTGAATACCGATCTACCATTTAACATTTATTAATGTGCGATTTTTTCATGCACAAAGTCAAGGAAAGAATGACACTTAAAATTGAATAGTTTTCGCTGAACGTTATTTATTATCACACATATCGAAATGTACATAAAACGAAGCGTAAAATGCAGAACATGTAATAATAATAATAATAATAATAATAAACAATAACAACAACAATATAATAATAATGATGATAACGATGATGATGAAAATGATAGTAATAGATAATAATTAATTGAACAAATTTGTACGCATCAAACGATTACAAAAATTAATCGTATTAAACATAGGACGCATACATTTTTAATTAAAATTTAATCGTGCAATTAATTAATATTAAATCGACAACTTAATATTTAACAAACTTAGTTATTATGTATGTATACAACTTATTTCTTATTGCGAATATCACACTTTCTAAAAGACAAATTATTGATAATTTCTCTTTTAAATCATTCATAGATAATAATTCGATGTGATATCAGGATAACTGTATTTGTCGTTATATATATATTACTAAAGTATTCTTTCTTAAAAAATGACAAAATGTAAATTAAAAAATTAAAATAGAACTCGTCTAACTTTACTGTAGAATTTATTATAATATATAAGTGAATAATCGTATAGCCTGATATATGTATATTTATATACATAGGACATATGCCTTAGAACCAAATATTGATTTGTTTTAACGACGAGCGAGACAAGTCGTTATCGGACTCGCAACGAACTCGCAGCAAAGTCCGATCGACCACGCAAGCAGATCGCACATTTAGAACATTAAATTATATTTTTATTATATTCATAAAAATTAAAATGTACACACCTTACTGTTTATACTTGTATCAGCTTCTATATGCATGTATCGCGGTATGTATTACGCGGGATTTAACAATAGAGATATAGAGATACTCACGAGACGAGACGAGCTTATGAAATAAATATACGACTTTTTCACAAATGGGAGGATTTCGGAAAAAGAGGTGATACGGTGTTTAGCTTACTTCAATGGATATTAATATTATTGACTGCTTATAAAATAATACTATTACACAATAATCATCCTTTGATTTGACTTGACACAGTTCTATTCTTAATTCGTTAATAATAGTTAGCTCTTGGCCTACGAGATCGAAAAGCATTCTTGCTTTCGGGGCAAAGGATGCGGCAACGGTAATCGCTCGAGTAGCAATACTTACTGCAGTTTTACAAAAAAAAAGGTGAATAACTTTCACTTGAATTAGAAGAAAAGTTATATGGAATATACTCGCTAGTTATATTTTCTTTATTTTACTTTTGCCTTTTTTTTCTCGAGTGCCGCTAAAGCAGGCATGCCTCTAGCGCGTACGTGTGTGACTGGATGTGCATGTATATCTATGCCTCTAGTATCTGACACGTATGAATATCGCGCGAATGATATCTTTGATACCTACTGTTAAATTCTGTTAAACAGCAGGACGCGCTCCTCTAACTGAATCGCAAGGTTTATGAGAAAACGTCTCGAAACGAACTAGATGTACACTTTGATCCGAGCACGAAGGAATTAAAGAAAATCTATGAAAGATTCCATCTTATAATTCTCATAATCAGACTAAGACGTTTGAATGAAACATTCATATGTAAATGTTTATTGATTTTATTGCGTAAGATAAATTTTGCTATCTCGTGAAAATATAATTTATATTTGAGTCACACGCGCGCGCCGCATGACTCATGCTCTGCCAGAAAATACCAGGGAAATACAAATTGAAAAAGATATCAATTTCAGAGTAACACATGCCAGATCGGATGGATCGTGATTACAGAATGTTCCATGCAAACATTCATAGAAGTAAACGCTAAATATTGTGCCAGAACAGATACTAGCACCAGTGCACACCGAGGTATTTACTAGTCGAATCGCTATCTATATTCTAAATATTGAAATTTAGATCGTGCTGAATCGACAATATACACGTACAGCTCGAATTACTATGCGCAATGTCGAAATAAAAATAAATGTCACTTAAGCGCCTTCCCACATTTTATGTATTGTACTTGTACACGCATCTGGTCGATTCACTCACAGCTTCGCTCACAGCTGTAACGTTCGTACATGTAATAATCGTTTATTTGACAATCTCGTAAGAATTATTTGATTCGAGGTACATACATTCAGATATGTCTAATAAACATATCAGAATTAATTGTGAATTAATTTTACAAGGATTTCTCTCACTTGGAGAGGTACGTATTCGTGTGTGCCTTTCGCGAGATAACTTTTATACCGATGGCGTGTGACGTCGGAAAATTATATTGTTGCGCTATTTATCTCAAGTGCATAGTACAGTGTAGAGTACAGGTAGGTCTTTACGATTATACTTATACTCGTTTGTGGTACTCGAGGACGATCATTCCATCGCGTTACATTGCGTGATATTCGAATACCTTCCAGATATTCGATATCGCTTTCGGTATTGTACAACACAATTACTAATTAATTATTTAAGATGTTTTAGAGCAAGTTCTAATTTGTACATTATATGCAATATAAGTTGTAAGAGATCCTTATCTAGCGATTAATCGAGAGTCAGTCAAATTAATAAAATGATATAAATGATTTTACGCGGAAAAGGCTACGGGAGAGCCTGTTAAAAAGAAATAGGTAATAAGCATATCCGTAAGCACACATTCGTGATTAAATTTTAATGAGTTAAGTCACTGTATACGAATCATTGACAGTCAACATCCTACAAGTTAGTTTTGTATGTATGTTTGGGGCTTTATATAACACCCCATCCAAATGCATATATTCGGTGAATACAAACCGGCTAGATACCTTTTTGTTTGTTTTTTTTTCTCTTTAAACACACAATGCAAAAATAGGCTTTCCTATTTCCGGTTATCTACAACCAGATCAAACGACATGGCGCATCCTATCGATCTACAGAGAATTTCCGAAATCCTTATTATCTAGTATCGACTCACAGAAAAAAAGGATTTGCTACTATAGGGATTAACATTTTTTGCTGCGAGAGCTATAATTTAGCAATAGTAGCAAAATCTTTTTGCAATTATTACTAAGTAGCAAAAGGTTCAGCAAAATTTTTTGCTATTGCAACAAAAGGTTTTGCTATTATATTGCAAAATTAATAGCTCTCGCTGCAAAAACTGTTAGTTATCCCATATTTAACGAATAGATTTTCTGTAGTAGAAAATCCTTTTTTTCCGTGCTGTATCATTCGTTATTTCCCGCAGAAGCTTTACACTTATAGCGTCTCGACTGAATCGCCGATCAACTGAAACCAACCACGTCGCATCTTTCGCCGGATAATCGCAATTTCGCACTTTGATTTTACGCATCGCTCTTATGCCGAACCGAATTTTCGACCTTTTCTGCCAGTTGCGCAAACATTTGGCGAAGTAGACGAAAACAGGATCGATTCGAGGATTCGCAGGTTTAAAGTGTCCAAGTATCCGTTTGATTCGCGCGACACCATACGCGACAAGGCTGTTTCCTCGTTTCGATGGATCAGAGCTAATGTATAGAGTCGGGGTGGATCAAACGGATACAATACGAATGTGTTGTTTCTAGCGAGTGAACGGCTTATAGATTTTCAACGGATGAGAATGACAGCCGTCATTGAACGTCACGCGGGTTGACATTCCTATATTTAATCACATCAAGACGCGTGAAAGCTCTCGTGGACCTAACCATGTGTTATAATAGTGTCGTCGTGATAAATACACTATCTACTTAACGTGGCTAGAATAAATGAGGAGGCGAGACAAAAAAAAGCACGTGCTCACTTTGCTATTTTTTTTCTTACATTATATTGTGTTCCGACTTATTGTTAGTACTGTGTCGATAAACGTACGAGGACGAATACGAGGGTTTTGTCACTTTTTCTTCGCATGCATACTTTGTCTGTTATTTTCCTCACTTTTTTCTTTTTCTTTCTTTGTTTTTTTTTCTTCTTTTTTTTAATACGTTACATTAAAATATAACCACCAATCTCGAGGCTTACGTTGTACATATACACGTTATATAGGTTTTACATTAGCGTGACCGTTCGAACGATCTCACCGCGACGCGACGATGGTTTAGAAGAGTTCCGAATTCAATATTATACGTACTCTCGCACTTTTTCGTGTAATTGACGACAATGAAACGTGGCCGCTGACAAATGCGGTCGACGAGACACTTACGAGAAATGAATCGCTTTCGCGACAAGGATAGAATTCAACCAAGTGTTGCGTAGAATATTATGAGAAAGCGTAGCCGTATCGCACTTACATAAGCGCGAACACGTTAAGATATCCGATAAAAATTAACGTTATTGGCCGAAAAAAAAAATTATGAGACTAATGTCGAGAAAAGCTTTTTCTTTGTCTTTTTTTTTCGAACTAAAAAACGAAATTACTGCATAAATTGTACACACAAACACACACACACGTCTCGACGTCGTTGATATTATTCCTTTTGTTATAAAAATGGTCCTCCTCGATCGTCTTGTCGATGCGATCCTTGAATTTGTTCGATGCGCGCGATGCTTTTATACAATACTTTATGCTCACGTGTCACGGAAAAGCGCGATCGAAAAGAAACTGCTCTCGAGCTGTACCCGTCGTTAAAGGCGCGACTGCGTCGTCGATGAACAGATACGTAATTAATTTACATAATTAATCGGCAGCTGGGGACAATCACGGTAACTCTGGCCCTTTGAAATGTAAGTGATGGTTTTCAAAGGCATTTTTGGCGAGGAACACAGAAAAAATAGTTAAAAAAATTCTATGATCAATATTTGTCCCTGTTTCGACTAAATTTTAATTTCAAGTTTTTAGAAATAGGCTTGGAGTTAGATGAGTTCTTATTTATGCGGGGAAGAGGCTTCGCCGCAGGCGGAGTGTCTACTTTCAAGTAAAAGAAAGAACGTTCGCGTGAAAAGTTGAACGATACTTTTGAAGAATTTGATTTTGGCAGTGACGACAATTCTGACGATGATTCAAGTTCCGAACCATAATATAAAGGGTGTATTTTTGCCCACGCGTTCGATTTTTGTTTACGGACTGGAATTTTCTTTTTCCTTTCTTTTCGTTTGTAATTGTTAGTTACTTTAGTATCTATTGGTCGGAAAATGCCTCCGAAAACTACTAAACATTTCAAGGACCCAAATTGAGTTATCGTGATCGTACCGGCAGCCGTTCGAAAAACGTCTTGGTTTCGCAATTTCGCATTTGATACTCGACTTGGTATTTTAATGGAGTCACGTATAATATTCGATGCTCGTGGATACTTCGACACGAGGATAAAAACGAGGGAGCAACGTGAACAGCAAAATATAGATTGATTTCACAGCCATAGTTAGGAGACTCGATTTAAATCATGGACCTCCCGTCCGCGACCCTTTGGAACTTGGACCGTGAGCGCGAGCGATCATGTCATATTCGCAGCGATCGCGGATAATGTTAAACTCGGAAGTCTTCTAGAGACATTCGTAAAACCGATTGGTCGAAAATATATTCTAGAATCACTTAGGGTACAAAGTATAGCATGAACGATTATCTTTAGACAATTGTAACGGTAAAAATGGACATTGTCTTATTGCGGGATGGAATAGGCTGCGTAAGCTCTCTCAATGTTAAATGCTCCGCTGCAGCTTCTCGCGAACATTGTTTTTCCCGACAACGTAAGGAAACAGTACTTAAACATCGACCACTCATAAGACTGCGATTAAAAGAAATCTTTGTTCCGAGATTATCGTTGGTGCTCTCTCACTCCCCCTCCCCCCATTACATTTCCTTCTGTTTCTATTTAATTTATATTTTCTCTCCGTATCTCTCTGCGTGTTTGTGTTGTAGGAAAGAATGACATTATACTCTGGATATAATCGCCTTACAATTAAGGGATTCGGAAAAACACTATTCAAGAATTGATCGATAACGCACCAAAGTACACAGTGGAATCGTGATTTTTTTCTTTTTTTGAATTTTGAGTCATTCTTCCTATGTGTCGAATAATGTGCGTGTCCGTAAAGTAAGAAGAGCAAGAGAGTAAATCTTGCTTTACGGATGACATACGAGTTCCAATGCGTCGAAAGGAATGCAAGTGTCGATTGCCAAGATTGTGTACCAAGAACCGAAGATGCATAATAATTAATAATTGCAGAATTTATTAATGTTATGCCGGGCAGACATGTAGTATCACTGTGACACGTGGACTCATATAATTTGTGTTTCTTCCTCAACAATCTCGATTACTAAAAATGGACAGATACCGCTGGTTGCAAGGTTTCCTTCTCGCAGAGGTAATTGTTATTTACGTACATAAAACCGGGGAAGATTGTCTGCCACGATAAGGAAACATTGCGCCGCAGCGATTATTATTATTATTATTTATTATTATTATTGTTACTATTATTATTATTAATATTATTATATTCCATAAATATTACACATACAGTAATATACTCATTATTGGTAATATAAGTATTGTTCTAATTGGACAGGAGCTGTTTTCACAATTTGGGCGAATGTACGAGTTATCTTAAATGTTAATTGCTTACGTTTTGTCTTTTTTCATATTCCTTTACGACACAATCTACATTTCGTGAAGTAAGAGAAAAATATAGTAGTTTTCGCCGTTTGATTTCACGCAAGATGTGATTACGTACGTAATGGCTTTTGACATAAAGCCAAGTTTAATACTCCACAAGTGAAAAAAATATCCGTTAACGAGCAAATCACGTTACAGGATACGAAATGTATATCAATCGTCCGCTTCGACATCCATGCTGTGCGTGAATAAAGTGATATAACGTGGGTAATCCAAGTATCTATCAAAAAGCTGGATGAATATAACGTTAGTTACGCAACTGATACGATGGAACAAGCTCGTTTATTTAGTTTCTACTACTTAAGTCTACGAACTTAATATTGCAACTCTATTAGACATTGTATCTTTGGACTTGCAATTTGTCTCTTAAAACAATTAACAACGGTATTTAAGAATCAGTTTGCAATCTCCAAAAAAACACAATACGCAGTTAGAATGCAGTATATAAATTAAGGCATGTCATGTTCACGTGATGGGACAACGGTGACAAGAGATGTATATTACAATAAAAAGGAACTTAACGAATCGCGCTAAAAAAAATACAATATATGAAACAATTGTATACATATAAAATCTTTTTAAATAATCTGCATAACGCGGTAAAATATATGTATGCAAAATGTTTTTCGACATTTGTCCTTTCATTGGGCACTTTTCCGGCCTATAAATTACCATGTGGTAATTTTGGAAAGTGTATCGTCCAATGATTTGTAAAAACGCCAAGATTAAATTCGGTATATTATTATCGCGTCTATTGTATCGACACGGACCGATTTCATAAATATAAAATATCATTACGTGGAATATGTACATCAAATTGTAGTTATCGTGTATATATTCAGATTGACATATCGAGAAAAGGAAAGATGTCCTGCTAACTTTTGATTGGTTTAAAATGTACAATTAAATCGCAAAGTATATTTCCTTCCTCTGGTATAAAACACAAATGGTTCGTAATACGTGGTCGTTAAAGTAAACTTGTGGAATGCTCGTAAGTCAATAAGTATCGCAACTGACTTTCGATACATGGCGACATGTATTATGCACGGGTCAATTATGCTATCCCCCCCTTCTTCCCTAGCCAAGTAACGAAGTGGATAACGTTGTTCATAGGACATGACAAGTCGAGAATACCCTATGCTTCGTGCGTAGTACACATTAATGATTTAATATTTCAAATATTACTTTATAGTAATTTCAATAATCAATAGCTGCCCTAATGTCTAAAGGACTGAAACATTGCTGCTACATGTATCGTATAGGCATGTAGCACTTGGGATATTTATGTTGTGGCTTTTATTAACACGAAGTAATGGTGAAGCAGTGTGTGATCCGTTTACTTGCCGCGTGGAAAAGAACGTGTACCTGTAGTAGAGAGGCCTTCCCCTCGACTGCGACTTCGGTGCAAGGAATGTAATCCTTCGCCTGTAAAGCAATATTGTTCCAATAAACGTAATTTCAACAGCAACGTATTCCAATCGACGCAATAAGATAACTGGTGCGAAACTACCTTTACTAATACTCCTGCGCATTGATGTGGATGGTGTAGATTCTTGCTTTGTATAGCTTCTAAGTGCCCTTCCTCGTCTGTCTTGAATTAGCTTATCCATTTTAACGAATATACCACATTTCGATCGACATGTAAAATATCTATGGCCATTGACAGCACCATCGTTTTTGCCTACAACAATAAAGTATGGACAGGTTTAAAATCTACTTGGAAAGTCTAGATAAAGTTTCAGAGAGAGAGAGAGAGAGAGAAAGAGAGAGAGAGGGAGAGAGAGAAAGGGGGGAAGAGAGGGGGAGAAAATTTTTCGTACCAGTCGGAGCATCAAGTTCAACTCCTATCCAGGTTCCCGATGCAAACTCTGTGGGACCGACGTATGCTATAACTCCGGAATAACTATAAGGACGAACCAAAACAGATTCACCAACAACGATCCAGTCTGGTAGGGGAGTTTCCACTCGAGTTAAATCGTGTCTTGAACCAAACGCTGAACTTTTATCGCTAACGTCATCCGCTGCAAAAAAAGAAATCTTTTTAAAGAGCTGCACGTACATGAAGAATCACATGGTATATAATTTCTCAAAAAAATAAACGCGTCGTTGAAAAATATATGAAGAATTTTCAAGACTATTTGCTTGCGTTAGCAGTACCATCGATTCTTTCTGAAGAGCTATTGTCGCCATTTTCATACGACATGTTAGGTTGTAGCGTTTGCTCCAAATGTACCGCAGCCTTACTCTCAGAAAGTTGTGGACGGACCATAGGAAACGAAGCTCTATGCTGCGAGCTGGTAGGCCTTCCTGTACTGCTAGAAGTCTTTCTTCTTCGCACGACCTGATTAAGTAAACACGAATCATTTATCGACTTGTCTGCATAGTCTAGCTAGAGGAAATTATTTTTGTCCATCTTTCCCTCGCTTTCTTTCTCTTTTTCTCTCATTATGCAAAATATATAATACTTACTTTGCCAGGTGGCAGTTTGGTATGTACGATCCAAGACCCCTCCAAGGGACTATCGTCTCCTGAATTGGACGTTTGACTGATTTCCATCTCGTTTTTTCTATCACTAAGAACCTGATCATGTGTACTTTTCCTTTGAGTCTCGACGTGAAACATGTTGCTATTGGTCTCACTTTCACTCTTTGTAGAAGAAACTGGACTATCGATATCAGTATCCATGTACGTTCCCATTTCTTCCAGATTTTTTCTAGTGTGTTCTGTAAGACGAAGAACTATTATATATTTACAACAGAACAATATCGATACATCTAAAATGACTGTTTCGTAGCATCCCCGTAACTAACCCTCCGTGCAAGCGCTTAGCGAGATGTTCAAGTTATCCAACGCGGAGTTTACTTCGCTCAAGTACTCCTCTGGCGTTTCCTCCACGAGGGAACTGTCCATTTTCTCGGGTTTCTTGCTGTCGAGAAGATTACGGTATTCGAGATCTGGAGTCTCATCCACGCTGATGGACTTGATAGAAATGGAATCTTCCGATGTCAGGTTTGTCGTGGAAACAGCTTGAGAACCGTACCCGCTGCTACTCATACTTGGCGTATTGATCTTCGTCGATTGCAGTTCGACCAGAGAATCCAATGTGCGTGAGGAAGTTAGCGGCTTTACCGGTTTCGGTGGAGCCTGAGCGCAAATAGCCTGTGTTATACAATTTTGATTCGATTGGCGCGATTACAATTGCACATTATTACAAAGTGGCTTAATGGCTGACTCCGTTGCAGTCGCATCAACGAGTTGACGCAATAATTCAAGTATCGTAATTTATAAACGCATTGTGCAACATTTATTGTGTTTCAATTTTTTTTTTTTTTTTTTACGAGATTTTTAGATAAAAATAGAAAAAATTTTTTTAGATATTTTTAATTCAGAATATACCCTACCTGATATGCCTCGTATTCAGAATAATCGGCGTCGCTTTTCTCCTCGTCATCGTCATTGATAGGAGTAGACGCTTGGTTCCCCACATTTGACGTTTCCTCATGTAATGTAGTCATACGAGGACCCAATTTACTGCTGACCATATTGGGAGACGCTACGATCAACACAATTATATTGATAATATATAATTGAGGGTAAAACCATTTTATATTATAGCATGTAAAGTATCAGGGCCGATCTGGCCATTCTAATAACTTCATCCTATCATTAATTTTACAAAATAGCTGTTTTTTTCGCAATCCTTATTTTAACAGATATTACATTGGACGCTAATGGGTTTATTACAGAATCGTATATCGAAAGGTGCCAGGTCGGTTCTGATATACACTTATAAATGTGAAGGATCATGCTCTTCCTAAAAATAACAAAAAACCTTACATATTCCACGCTTATTTGTTATATGACATCATTAATTTGCCAATTGTGTATGAATGTATATATATATATATATATATGGGGATTATTAATAGTTTCGGATAATTTAGATCAAGTAATCCCAGACAATAAAAGCGTAGAATATATAATCTGAAATAAAGAAATAAATCATGATGATCGGGATAACTGTAAGTAATCAACATTCAACACACATAATATGTTGCCCTTAAAGTGCAGTATGTATTTACTACATACATACTGCACTTTAAGGGCCGTAACAACAATTCAATGGTGATTATGATCATAAACCATCTAAAATAAAATACACTTAAAATAAAACAAAACCCAAATACTACTTCACTATACTACACTAGTTTCTAATGGTTGAAACAAGGAAACCAAAATATACAAATATGTTGACCGAATTCATCCTTTCAAACTATATCACGCTAGAATTATCCTTCAACTGTGTGTTGTGATTCTAATCTAACTTGCTCTCAATGTTCAGACTTGAAGTTGAGTTAAAGAATAAAATTTGAAAGGACGATCGACGACGAGTGTCACCTACACTTGGCAGAGGTAGATTGTTGAAGACGTGTCAATGAGTTGAGATTCAGGTTCAGATTCAGGAAAGTTGGTCTCGCTGAAAGGAAATAGATGCCACTGATTATACTTCTTTTCCCTTCACTCGACTAGTCAACGCTACTTTCCCCATAATGGCGAGCTTCGTATGAGCTTTTCGGAACTTATATACTGACAAATCATTCCTGCAGGCCACAGACACTAGATGGTGAGACAAATAGACAAGTAACGTATATTATCTAACGCGCATTCTAATATACGAAAGTTTCATTATGTGTATATGTCATGTCACAATACCATTAACTGACACATCAATGTTTATGATTTCAGCATTTCAAGTGTGAATCTCACTTTTTATTTTCTTTTCCACTATGTGTAAAACTATCTATATATATAAATACTCCATTTCAATAACAATTTTAAGAACTCGCCATTCCATTTACGAATTCAAAATGCACATTTTCGAAATATGTCATATATAGATACATGTATACACTTTGTATGCCGTTATCTTTATGATAAGTGAACAATAAATATAAATTAATAATATATGATAAACACTACACAATTCGATGATGTACATAATGAATTTAAGATTACGTTTTCAGAGATGGTAAGTTAAAAGTCGAAGATAATGATACATGTGCCTTGTTACATTAGTATCGTAAAAATTATATGTATATTGTTTAAAATTTAAATATATTGCTATTGTTATATTGTACATTATAATTTCATCATACTGCTGCTGTGTTATGTTTAAACCATACATAACAATGCCATACATAATTAATCTGTACGCTTTCTCATATTTTTGTCCACGTTCATTTTCACATTTATAGAAATGTATCTTTGACTTTAAACCGAGTCTCTTTTCGTCAGAAAGATAAGTTCTGGTCTACAACCTTGCTTTAAAGGGTATTTAAGCTCTAAGCCATAAGAAATCGACCAATCACAATCGAGTTATTCTCCTTACATTCCATTGTGATTGGTCAATTTCTTACGGCTTAGAGCTTAAATATCCTTTAAAGCAAGGTTGTAGACCAGCACTAACAGAGAGATGGCTTATATTTGTCGTGTCATTGTGTGATTTCTTTCAAAAGTACAAAATATAGGACTTTTACCGATTCACCCTCTCTCCCATCCCCATTCCTCTAGATTTTTTGCCTACATATAGGAGGTTTATTCTGTCTCTTTATATCGATCTTTAATTAACACATAATTAATCGCGCTACATAGACGTGTAAATAATGGAAATTTAGCTATTTGGACGGAATTACATATACACATCACGTTTAAACACAGAGAGAATAATCCTCACTTAACATGTATTAACTGTAGAAAATATTTATACACACATATGTGTTACAATAAATTTTCTACACTCTAGCTAAAGTATCGCTCACAATGGCACATTCACAAATATATATTATAAATAAAGACTGGAACATTGCAGCAATTCCACATATGTGATGCAATAGTTCAATCTTTTTTGATTACTTTGTATATTTTTATTAATTTGTTAAATGCAAACAAATATACATATATGTATCAGCGTACATTTAACAAATCATTACAAATTATAGAAATCATCTTGATTGATCTAAACATTTATAAGAAGCAAGGTTTTAGAATCATACGAATCTTGGTACGAATTATGAAAATAGATATATGGGTGAAAATGATTTCTATGCATGAGTTTGGTATAAACGGTGCGACGACACAGGGCGTGTGCGTGTGCGCGTTGAGCGTACGCCTATATGTGTACTGCGCGACACTTAATTTCGCACACAACACACACACACACACACAAAATTGGTCACTAGTATTGTTTTACACGTTAATCGTGAACAATATATATCAAATAGTTACATAAAATAAGATAAATAAGAGAAGTAAACAGTTCAAAACAAACTTGCTAATATGCTAGGCACACAAGAAATGCATTCTATATGCATGCAAACTAAACAAACGTACTGAAATATAACGTTCACGTAATAAAATTGCATTCGATTTAAATAAAAAAAGATGAGCAGATTCTAAGTCTTCTCGACATGGCGACGCTAAAACTTCTTCTGAGCCAACTGAACCAACTGATTTGTGAATAAATGACGCTTACGAGAGAACATATATTAATTGTCAAAACGCATTCCCGTTCTGTCAACATTACTATCGCGGATAACGTCTCTGATGTACTAACGATAAGGCAAACTTCGAAACAAAAAGACAAACAGACTCAACCACTCACGAGACATATGTACTAATTGTCATTGCCTGTGTGGCATCAATTAAATATCAAATCAAGACTCCATTTTACCTGAGTTCAGAATGGAGCCTTGCGTGGGCCGAAATAGTTGTAGAAGTAGTAGACGTAGTGTTAAACAGAGGAATAGATTAGTTGCATACATTAATCAGTCGATATTCATTAATTTTGTTGTAGGGTTCGTTATTTAAAAAGTTTGTTAGTGTTTGATTTTGTTGTAATAAGTGGTAGAGCGCACTTAAATGTAGCTGCTAACACTAAGGAAAATCTGAGAAAGTAGATTTTACCATGCTCAACTCTCTTCGTTATCAAGTGATAACAAAGTTGAAATTATTTAGATCGATACGATCTAATCTCTATTAGTGGGGAACACGTTTGCGGTAAAATTGTTATTAGATTGAATCGTCAAGTTGAACATAGCTTGTGACGTAACAATATGACAGAAAAGTTCTAAAATTGTAATAATATAAAATTCCACAAAATGTAGTATAAGTATATTATAATTACTAATAAGAAAACTGAAATTTCAAATTATTTTCGAAAATGACGAGATTGTTAATTATATCTTGTTAGATGATGGGAACGGTACCCTTTCCTAGTGTCATTAATCTTTCATATACTTTCGGCACAATTCATTTGTATGCGTTTTGTAAAGTTTCACAACTCGATACTGTCGATACTTTACAATCAATCAGCCAAGAAAACAGAAATCGTAGACACATATAAAGGGTACATACTAGTGATGGATGGTATGAATTTCAATTAAAAAGACAGATGGACAGGGCGCATTTTTATTATCCAAAATCAACAGGTTCTATACCAAACGAAGAGTAACGGCGGAGCTTGGGACGATCAAAACTAGGGTGGAATGTAAAGTGATCGTCATAGCCAAAGTGAAATATCGAAAACACTGCATAAGCCACATTTCAGAAACAAAATGTTGATTTTTCATTGAATAAATCTCGATGAAGCAGATTAAAGCGGTGGAGAAAAAGTGGTTAGTGGCTCTAATTTAAATAAAAACTTAATCTAAAGACTAAAGTCCCTAAACACGATGCTATTAAATTTAATAATAAAGCCATTAATTTAAGAATTTAATGGTGTTTAAGCGAACTAAATATTGCATTCAATATACGACGAGTTTGCATATAAAATAGTCGAAATCCAAAATAAAATTTGGTAAAAACCTATCGATTTTCTATCAGGCGTAGACCATTTCTAAATCCAGCAGAGATTATTTTCACAAAAATCACTTTTCTTCGAAATATTTCTCGTATTATATTAAATGTAGCATAAAATTTTTGAAAACATCTCATGCTTGACGTGAAATGGATTAATATAATATGAATGATTATGAATGATTGCATGAATGAATGTATGTCTATATGAATGAAGGGAGTTTGTGTGTCACGCTACTTGTATGACTTTTTTACTTTCTATGATTTCGTAATCTTGTTTTACGAGCGTAACATTTTACAAATTACGAAAAAACATTTCATATTTCCCCGCTTGATCATAACAGCACAAGTCTAATAATAAAAAAAAATTTGTGTGTGTGTGTGTGTGTGTGGTGTGTGTGTGTGTGTGTGTGTGTATGTATGCACACATACATATACACACACAAAATTAAGAAATCATGGAATATATGAATAATTATAAATGTTATGTTTGCACATTAATATTTTGAATAGAGAAGAATATGCTTACCGATTCCAAATGGCTTTGGTGGTGCAGATATAAAGTTTTCGTCATTTCTTGCATGACCTGTGGATGCACGTCGCGGATGCGGAAGACCATTTTCCATATTAAGATCTGTCACACTCTCCGACCGAGTAACGTTCAACGAATCCGTTGACATATCGAATCTCATAATCTGTAAAAAAGAATGGTGATTTAAGCGAACTAAATATTGCATTCAATATACGACGAGTTTGCATATAAAATAGTCGAATCTATCCAAGGAACTCTTTCTATTTGAAAAATCTCAGATACATTTAATCGAATAAAAGATATATTAAAAATTATATGCGTAACAATGGAGAAGGAAAAAAAACTTTGTCAAATTGAAACAAGACTTCGAATAAAGTTTCGATAAAGGAATTACTTGATATTCCGGTAATGTAGAAAAAGAAGACTTTCACAGACGCAATAATATTAATACGATACAAAATTCGTAGAGAAAAACAAGTTATATATAAAATTAATTGAAAAGTAGGTTCTCTGACCAAAATGTCGAGGGGATAATAGTACCTGAGAAAAGTTCGGAACACTGCAAGTCTTACGCATCAGTGGTTGTCCTCGTGCTTGTAACAATTCTTTTATAGCGACGCTTTGTCGTAATCGATCCAATGTTAATATACTTTCGACAGCGGATACCCCGCGAGTATATTTTTCTATGGGGATAATACGAAAGATTAATACGATATGATGCACTTTTGCGCGACAATCGCGAATTTTAATTAATAATTTACCTATATAAGTTTCTCCGTCGCATAAACTATTATCTTCCCCGCTGGCAGCAATTTGCGCCAAGCTCTCGCGATCTTCCAGCTCTTCGCTTGCCTTTGGTATGTTCGATACTACCTCGTAAGTGACGCCGGTTTGCGTCAAGCAGTCAGTTCGAACGATTCTCTTGAAAATTCTATCTGTAATGCTCTGCCTCTTGTATATGTTTAAAGCTAATCTTTTACGCAGCACAAGATCCATTGGTGCTGGATGCGACAAGCGAACGGTAGTCTTCAAGATCAGAAAGACTCTTTCATTCGCTAAAAACAAGGACGGCGCACGTTACAAATAGATTTGCTACTGGGTAAAATGTAAAGAATAATTACCATCGGTCACTCTATTGAGATGTACGTTGTCGTGTATACTAGAATCCCAAGCGGCAATGGCACATACGTCTTTTTCTAGATGTCGAATAATGGGCAGATTATAGAATTTGTTTCCATGTTCCTTAGGTAGGATCGAGTTCAATCCTGTCACCGATACTTCTTCTCCCGACTGATGCGTTGAGAGATCATCGGCTGTATAATATTTAGTCAAAGTAAACGCATTAATAAATCAAATAAAACGCACATTGATAACATACTAAAAAAAAATTTTTTTACAGTACCATTGAGATCAAGAAATAATACGGGAATATGTGGCTCCATCCCTGCAGGAGGAGTCCAGTCGGCAGGAGCACCGGGAATACCTGAACCCGCCGCGGGAACCAGAACGGCGTTCCGTTCCTCCGTGAGACTGACCCACTGATCCACGAGACTTTGTTCTCGCTCCATGTCTTGTTCCGTTTTGTCTATAAAGATGAGCAAACGGATGTAAGAGGGTACAGAAAAGACAAAGTGACAACAATTGTTAAATAGAACATTAATAGATCTTTCGTCGTTGAGACAATTTCGTTACATTACCTTGTTTATTGATGAGTTTCTGAATTTGTTGATCAAGGTATTGTCGTCTTCTCATTAGAGCATCACTCCACTTGTCTCTCAATATACTCAAGTCCTCATCTTGATAACTATCTAATGGAATTTGCAATCGGTTTCGTACTGATACACTCCCAACGGCTATATTTAATATCGATTGACAGATGATCGGTAAGGTTCCGGAATTTTGTACTGGTTTTACTCGAACTTGTATGCGACGTTGTTGGCCTTGCCGAAGTTGATAAATGCCACCTAAAAAAAAGAAAGAAAAAAGAAAGAAAAGGTGCCGATCATTTTAGTCCATATGCCAGGTCGATTGAGCATTTTTATCGAGGTGATGACTTAAGTTAATGTTTTTTTTTGTTTTTAATAAAAATGCTCAGTCGACCTGGCGTATGGACTAATTAAAAGTAGATTAAACGCGTGATGTTTTTTCGAGAAACAAGTGTATTGCAATCATTCTCACCTGTGCACGTGTCTTGCTTCACTACAGCTTCAACAGGCGAATATTCTCCCTGCTCATTGAGCTCTTGTATCTCCACCCATAATTCAATTTTTCGCGTTAATTCGGACCACCGATCAGCGAGCGATCTAGCTTTTGCCAATTGTTGCTGTTCCACTTCCCATCCAGGTTTACTACGTGAGAAACCTGCGCTGCGATGGCCCCATACTTCTATACTCAATGCCCCTTCTAGTAAGTGAGAAAACACAATAAGCAAATATGAATAATATAATAACACAAGAGACACCGTATCACTACTCGCGTTAAAAAAAAAAAAAAAACGCACGGATAAAAGCGCAATAAATTCCTACCGGCGACATGTTCCATAAACTCTTCCGTAATGGGTATGGTAAAATCTCTTGTATCATCAAACTTAAATGCCAAGGAATCCCTCTGTCCAATGATGCAATTCGCGTTGGATAGCTCCGCGTTCACCATAGGCGGAACTACTATCGGTTCTGGGTGATTCCAAAACATGTATTGACAAAACACAAAATGACTTAACGAGAGTGGTAATCCGGTAGCTTGCTTTATCGTTACACGACAGGTAATGTGGCTAGATCCTCCGGAATAATCCTCCGTTTCGGAGGACGTCGAGTCCGCGGAAGACTCCGAAGCAGCCTCGCAAATCCGATCTTGAGGAAATTGCCCGGATATGCGACTTATTTCGACCTGCAATCGGCCAGCGACTTCTCCTTGCTGACTAATAATCGGAGTGTGATAATCTAACCGTACATCGTGCAATAACACTTCTAAGAAAATATTTGCAACTCCGATAAGATTGTGATTCTCTTGGGATTCGTAAAACGGATCTAGTGTTTTTCCTGGTATTTCGTCCTGTAACAAAATAATTTTGTAAGAAAGTAATTTCGCTGTTAAAAGGAAATGTTTGAAAGATATAAAATATATACCCTAATCGCAGGTAATCGTTGACAATTGTGAGGATCTTTTCTTTCCTCGTACATGTCTCGCATATCGACTAATTTATTTTCTAGCTTTTCCATGGTCCAAACTTGACTTCCCATATTTGTCCTCTTCACTAAAATTGCGGGCTCACTGACAAACGCGCCTCGCTGAAAGAATACACTCTACATAACGAAGAGTGTGAAGAAATAAAAAAAAACATAAATTAACAAAAAATAAAAAGTAAAACATAAAAGAGAAAGAAAATTTAGGGCAAATATAATGTACCAAATATTAATTATAAAAATGCGGATATAAGTAAATGAATAAAAAGGCGAGAAACTTATACGTATAATAAATGACTAATTAAACATTAAACAATTATTACAAATCAGGTAGATTTTTGTAAATCGACAAACTTAAAAATTCTACATAAAACATGACAAAGGCACGATGTTGAAACAGTACACAATCCTTCATTATTTTACCTTCCTGTTCGGACTTAGATTATTCGGAGGAATTTGCAAGGTGACGCTAAATTTCGTCTGTTTGCCCATCTCCTCAGCTAGGACATTAGCTTCTTGTACCAATGAATTAGCCTTTAGGATATCCGTCTTCAATTGACCTAAACTGCGCTTGAACATCTCGTCTCGTTCCTGAGCCCATTTTTCAACTCGCATTTGCGTCGTTGGTGTGCAAGCCGGGAGCTTTCCACTTTGGCTACCTCTCAGAGGATCGTAAGGTACGTAAGGTGAATACGGCGTAGAGGGAGATAGTATATTGCGTAATTGTTGAAATTGTCGTTCATACTCCTGCCTCTGCTTCTCGAGCGCAACCTTTGAAACATGTGCGTAATTAGTGATTACCAAAGTATTATTTAATTACAAAAATGTAAAAATTAAAGCGATGCAAGACGTATACCTGCTTATCCTCTTCGTGCTGTTTCTCCAGTCTCGCTATAGCTCTCTGAATCGGATCGTTCGAAAGTTCGTTAAGCATGAGCTCTTCTCTTGCAAAGTTGTAGTCAATGTTTTGTGCGGGAGTTTGCGGCTCGCTGTTGATTGCTGCAGACAGCGCAACGACATAGGCGATACAGACGATACAGAGATGTATGTTACTCTCAATTACTCTCAATTACTTTGCGAAATTAATAGGTTTTATTTTGAAATCAATATAATCAAATCAAGTCGTACCTGTAGCACTTCTTGGACAGTTGACTCTGAAGAAATGATGATTTCCCCAAACGATTCTATCACCATGCTGTAGTAGAGTCTTGGTTACAACTTGCGTACCATTGACAAAACATCGAGCACCATTTAATGGTATCATGTACAGGCCTGATTCTTCTATCGTGATAACGCAGTGTTCCGGCAGAATACCCAAGCCGTGCAATTGAATATCCTGTTCCCTCTTGGCTGAACGGCCGCCTACAAGGGTCCTTTCCTGAAACACAGAGATATGCGACACAGAGACAGGTGATGCGAATGAGACATATGGCCTTGTACCTCCGGAGAGACACGGCCTATGTATATAGGGCGTACCTTGAGGTAATAAACCAATAATTCGTTCAAGCTTGGATCATCGTTCAAATTGACCAGATAGTATTTGCTCTTCTCTACTTGAATACCAGACGCTTGTACGCTTATTCCCATTTTTTCCAGAGCCTGCTGCCTCTCGTGTTGCAGTCTCTCGGTTTTCACTAGCTTCTCTTCCCACGTCTGTGACATTTCCTTCATTAATCGTTCCGATTCCGATAGTTTTTCCGTGATGTCTGTGCGTTGTTGACCGACAATCGATCCCTGAGCATAATCGAAATCAATCATCGTAGCGTTTTCGCGCGATCACTTTAACACGAATAGCTATAGGCTCGTACTAGATAGGTAACGCAATGAGAAAGGTTCTCTTACTGTGGCATGTAACAACATTTCCTTCAAGGTTTCAACCTCTTGTCTGAGTTCGCGAATAATTCTAGCATTCGGATCCTCGTTAACTACAGCATGATTGACTATCCTCTTTGCTCTGTCAGCATACCGGAGAGTCGACAGTGTTTCCTCGTAATTGTCGGCAGCCGGTGATATTGTGGCTACCATGACAGTTTTGCTATTGCCACCAAGATTATCCTAAAAGTTTCGACCGAAGGATATTTGACCGATAATCGACACGAGAGGATAACTTAAAGCGCCCTGTCGTGAAACGTGAAAGCTAATGTACCTTCAAGAGCCACGTGAGAACAGAATCTCTGTAGGGGACAAAATTGTCCTTCTTCTTGTTGCTGCCGGAATTTTGATCCGCCAACTTTGAAATGACTAGACCCAACGTCGTTAAAGACCTATAAATCAACGCTTATTACGCGTTTCTCAGATTTAAGCTAACGTAGGACAATTTCTACGAGTCTTAAAAGATATTTACTTGTTAATATTGCTTCCTTCTTTAAGTCTATCACCCACTGCTCCGGTTTTCACAGCCCTTTCGCTCCCAGCTAAATCCACCAAACTCATCCGCGAGACCTTTTCCCCGCTGACTCCGCTCTTCGAATCCGTTAGAGTCTGCGTGAGAATCACCGAGAATACGGCATGCGAACGGGAGCTCTCGGAATTCATATTTGTCGCCGCGACTGTTCGCGATTTGTTGCCCTCCGCCATGAGGTTGTCGATCTCCTAGAGTTGAACGTTTCGTCAATAAATATGGATCGTTCGGATCTCGCATTTCTGCACAGATATGGAAATTGTTGATAGCAAGAGAAAGGAGAGGCGCGGTCACCTGAAAAGAAGTAACCGCCAGTTGGCTCAGCCCGTCCACGTAGGGCCCCAAGACATTGTGCTCTCGGACTTTGAGTGATTGCTTGTTTGGTTTCGGATCCAGGAGATCGTGCACTTTTTCATTATAGATCTCCATATACGAGACCTCGACCTTGTACGTGAGCTCGGAACTTTGTTGCTTCGCTATCATGTCAAAGAGATTGTCGCACAACCGTGGTATTATCCCTTTGTAGTCGCCACTGCCCATCATCGTGTAAGACTTTCCGGAGCCTGTAAGGGGAAGCCACGCATGCGAAAAACGACGTTAAATCCTGTATGGCACTTTAAGTGATTTTAAATTTAAGTATTCACAATGTTTATCCGTTAAAAAATGAATCTTTAAACTATATCCGGATGATATTTGAAGAATTGTGCGCGGGCGTGTGGGTGTCCGCGTCGCGTCAAAAACTCATAGATAGTACATATAGAACTTTCTATATACTTTCTCCCTTTTCTCGCATTTTTCTTTTTGCTAATATTCTATAAACACGCATGATATTTGCAATGCGCATATACGCGTTTACGTTCTATCGTGAAAAACAAATGTGTTTAGTGAGACGTTCTTCCGAAGTTTGACCAAGCATTTTATGTGGTTTGATGTAAGTAAATTGATCCATCATATAAACGCGCGAAAAATAAAAATTGAAAGAAACAACGGATTAGATCCGATCGATTAGATATCTCTCACAACGGTGCTCGTGAGAAGCGCAAAGGTGAATTAAAAAAAAATGCGCGATCTGTCATCTCTTTGCACCGTTTCGTCCTCTTCGTCTCGTGTACGCTTGTATCGTACGTATCATATGTAGATATGTATCATATATAGGCGCGGAGAGTTTATTGTTGTCCGTGGTGTCTTGTTCTGCTTCGTGTGCGTGTGTGGGTGTGTGGGTCAATGTCTCGCCCCGCAGAAAATCAAGCGTACAGTCGCTTCGCGGTGACGAGCGAACCGATTAATCGCGTTATTTGCCACGTTACACATCCGTTGATGTTCCGCTCATTAACTATCGCATCCTTTCTAACACACGTTAACGTCTCAGGCGTCTCTCCACGCGGATTTAAAGATCTGATTTGTATTGTCCGTACGGACAATAGCTAAACGAAATTAATCAACAGTTACAAAGTGTGTAACTGTTGCAGTTGATGTCATACCGGTTTGTCCGTAGGCGAATATGCAGGCGTTGTAACCCTGAAACGCATTGTCCAATATATCACGACCCAGGGCGTCGAAAACGATATCTTGACTCGCAAAATTGTCCACTCCAGGATCCAGGGAATAAAAACAGTGATCGAAAGCGAAAGTCTTCGGCTTGTTCCTACAACATCGATAGAAAATAATGATCTTATATGTAATTGTATGTATGTACGTAAAATCGATAAGAATGCCATGAATCACAATAGGTTACAAGTCGAAATCGTACGCGTCTGTATGTCAAGAATACGTCACGTGGAATACGTTACTGTTTATCAATCTCAACAGTTCTCTCGTCTCGAAAAATCTCATCATAGACGCTAGCAGTACATTACTGTCCCGGTGTCCGATTCTCGGCTACATTTCGATTTGAGTTGACTAATAGCGAAATCTCAAAAAAGGAAAGAAAACGTAACAGCATTTCTTGTCGATCTTGTGATATGTGTAAGTGATAAGTTATCGAAAAGTGACAGAAATATATACATCTAGAATCTAGAATCTAAATATTTGCAAAAATACACGACCGGTCACATTATATATTATACACTTCGTAATATTAGGTATATTGTTTATTCTCTAATAAATATGCATCGAGAGATCGTAGCGTTGGAACTGTTGCAACTGCGAGACTGTGAGACTGCGACTGGCAGCAAAGTTGACCGCTCGTTGTATTAACAACACGTTACTAACAAATCCAATCTAATTCATTGCTGCACGCGCCTACTCGTCGCGTGAGACTCGTTATCCGTTCTTACATATAACGAAAACGAAGAGATATAGCGATCATTTTGATCCTCGAAGTCGATTGGATCCTCGCATCTTATTCGACTGTCGGTTTTGCCCGTAGCCGTGGGCAGAGTGTTAAGTACAGGGAAACGTTTTATACCTTCTACTTGGTGTACCGAGAGACGCGATACGTCCTGCCGGTACTAACAATAAAACGCCGCGGAAAGCGTGCGGAATCGCAGATCGCAGCCAGTTACGTGCCTTGGAAAAAATGTCAAAAGGCAATACAATCAGAGTCACGAGTACCTTGGCGCGCAACGTGCGCGCACGCGAGCCGTAGTAGTCAAGTCAAAGACTTTGACTTTCATCGATCGTATTTAGCTCCATTTTCACTCAACGACGATCGATAGATGACGATATTCCGTCTCTTCTACACGCAGAAAATTTTTCTCGAATAATGTAGAATACTCATAATAAAATTTACTAGATTTGCTAGGTTCCGGTAAGATATACGCGTATTCAACCGGAAATTAATATATGACAATAGAAATGTAATAGTTTGATCAGATACATCTTGTAACCTAAAGGTAAATAAATTTGCCATACTAACAAGGAAATATGAGAACAGTAAAAAAAAGTCCCATACTAGTATGTGTATATTCGACGTTGTAGCTTGAATTGCCAACTTCACATGTCTTGGATTGAGCGTTGTTTTTTAAGACAGTATAGGAAAAATATAATCTAGAATGGTACCTATTGTGAACTGTATAGAAATATTCGTTGCGTATCTGGCAATAGTTTATGTTCTTTATAGAAATGCGATAGTAACCGCGATCGTGGACGACGGAAGGCGCGCGGCGCGAGCGGCAACGTGGGCTCGCGCGGCGAGAGGATTCGGCTCGCGCCCGCTACGCGGCGCATCGCCGGTACATTCTCGCGTGATTAAGATTCAACATCGACCTTTATATCTAGGGCAGCTCGGCAGGGTCCCTATAGCGTTCTTAAGTTCGCACGTGGCGGACAGCTGACCGCCACAGCCTATAACGGCAACTTATTCAACTTATGTTTTTTGACATGACTGCAACAGACGTCTCGTTTTTTGTTCATCAGCGATATTCGGGATAAGACACAATCGGACAAAATATAATTGAATCATTCGTCTTTAAATTAACGTAGTTAAAACGCGCTCTCGAAAGTCCCATACTTGATGGAAATATTTACTTCTGCGTATAGTTTTATTTTTTGCTCTCTAAATTTTCCTATACTTTCTTGAAATCTTTTGCATATTATGAGTATATCCTAGCCGTGCAAGATTAGTATGGTATTTACTTTGTTCGTGTATACTTGTATTTACGAGAAAAATTTTCTGCGTGTATATACGCAGCGCTCGAGTACCGCGGGTAAAGTATAGTAGGGCGAGGGTATATCCGCATGGCATAATACTCGGGTTATCACACGTTCCCGAACAATGCAAAACCAAGGGCAAACGCGCCATTGCGCCATTGTCAGTGAAACAATGTGAAAATAATGCCTCCAATGTTCCATATATTTGATTGCGTCGCACGCGATCGATCGTTACCCTTAGTTAGTTCTTATCAAACTAAGATACGTGAAAACCATTATAGGTGAACGATAAATCTTGCACTCGTGAAATCGTTGAACGTGTGCTCGAAATAATTTCGTATCGTTATTATCTACTCTATCTTTAGGCCGCGTTCGGAAACGACGAGTTTTATGATTTACTATTGTATACCGAATTAAAGATCAGAAAACGTTATTCCTGTATTATCGAAGATGTTCTCACGCACACGCACACACCGATTTCACGTTCGGAATTAATTAAACTATGTTCTATATCGAACGCTCGATCTGTAGAAATCTCGAAAGTCTTTTCTACTGCGCATACGCAGGTGATTCTAAAAATCTAAGAAATTCAACCCTATCTCTCAATACAAAGATCTTTTTTATTATATAGTCGACATGAATAAAAGTTGTCTAAAGGATTGCCTACGATCGATTGTCGAAAGGTAAGATATTTGCGTTATATCTCGCAAGATACACTTTTAATTTTGAACACGGTTACAACGCCGACGCTTGATCTCTTTCTCGTTTCAATCTCACGGCGTTCATCATCTTTTTATTTGTATTTCCGTATTACGTATATCGACGTGTCATTAACGTTCGCTTCTCGTAATCGGCATCTCTTTTCGCGCGAGTAACGTAGCCATGAAATAAAAAAAAAATAACAAAAAAAAACTGGGCGCGAAAAGAGAGAATAAAAATGATGAAAGATGCGCGAAGGAAGATCTCGATGGGGCTTGTATCCTCTTTATGAAAGAAAAAGACTCGTGCCGTCCTTTGTTAGCGAATTCAACCGCTCATCATTACCCACCGCGAATTTCCTCGGTGCCCAAGCCGTACAATTAGTCGGCCGGGATGGGGACGCATTCAGCGTCAAGAATTCGGCCGTTTTCCAAGCTGAAAGACTTTCTCGACTTTACGAACCAGAGAGAAACGAAAATAACTCGGTCTAACCGCGCGCCGCGCGGTAGAATTCGCCCAAACGCTTGGCATTCTCGAAACTGCATTTGCAACTCAGACCAAGCAGTATCGCAACGCAGTCCGATACAATTAAAGTTGCAACAATATCCTAGGACGTCCTAGGTTCTAGGTATATGTTGCATCGATTTCTACCGGACAATGGCTTTTATCCAATTGATTCATGTACGTTACCTATACGGACGTTTCCAATGTGCGATTCGTATTCGTAATCATTTTGTTTCGTAGGGAATGCCTACGTCGCGTCGAAGTAAATCGATTTCAATTATGTCGATATACGATGTACGGTACCGACTACCGGCTATCGACAAAAGCCGTAATCGTAATCGTAATCGAACTAGCAAAGCCTTGTAAAACTGGACGAGGACGTATTCTCTTTTTGCTTTGTCGCGTTCACTAATGTATGAAAGTATATCGAGCGTGACCGATCCAATCCGACGAAAAGCTCGCACGACAATTTTCCATTTTCTGCTCGCGTCGCGATAATTAGCGCGCATCCGCGAACACACCTGCGTGTGGACGACAACCCGTTGCGCAACAACCAAGGTAACGCGTATACAGATTTCCTGACCTATATTCCCACCGCGTGTCTCATCGCGCAGCGCGACGAGTCTTTACGGCCACTGGAAATCAAGCCTTAATTCCATTAGATTTAAATTTTCAGAAAATTGCATTGACATTTATAAGCGCGATAAAAGCGTCTTCTGCACGTAAGGGCACGAGGGCTCGAAGCTCGAATGTATGTACAAGTCAACGATAAAAAGCCTGGCTTTATCCTGATGTCACTTGAATATTTTTGCCATTATTTGCCGCAACGCAACGATGCGTTGCGCTGCGCGACTCGCCTATAAGACATATATGTGATGGACTGATGGACACGCTCGCGGATATCTGGCAATGGAATTTGAGAACCGAGCAAAATCAAGCGTCAAGTATGCGCGAAACTCATAATTATTCGGCATACACGCGTACAACGTGCCGTTTCATCCGAACCGTCTATTGTCTATTATTACTCTTATATCGTTAGCGTTTAGCGTTTAGCGTAACGCAAGCTGGTCACGCATGAGATGCAGGGCGTGCGTCGATCGTCGATATACAAGTTGATTTCTTCGAGAGAAAATAGAGAAAAGACAACGGAAGAAGAGCGCGTAACAAAGTGATCGTGATCATCGCGTCGTTTTCGAATAACTGTAGTGAAAAAACTGAGGATATCACACGTGATTGCGATATATGCGGGTTAATTGCTAATTGTGCGGTATTGTCTATTGAGGTGCTGTAAACGCGAATTATTTTGAGAATAATTACGTTAAAATATAAAAATATAAAAAAAAAAACAAAAATGGAAACTGTACCGAGTATAGAATATCATATATTACGACATATTAATAACGAGAGATGTCATTAATATTGCTGATCCTGCGGTCCAAAGTTTACTTTTAATTCATAATCAATATATCGATAACGAATTGCTATTATATACTTGTTTCTCGTTTCAATGTTACTCATGCTGATTAAGAGGTACCATTTACACATCTGTATTTTTAAAAAGCTCTATTAGGAAAACAAAGTGTGAGATATCGTCAAAAAAATCAACAGAAAAAGAAAAAAAAAGATAACGGATCCTGAACATTAATTGTCTCATTGTCTGCATGTATGTGTGAATGTATGAATGTCATAAATAATTGAATCGGCATGTTATAGATTAATCGATTTATTACACTACAACTACAGCAATAATTTGTATAATTTTCCGCGCTATTTTGTATGGTTGATATTCCTACAATATTAGAGCATAGAGTCTAATACAGCTTCGAAATAACATTATAGTTGGAGCGTTCTTACCAGGCTATAATCCTATCCGCATATAAAAGCAGGTGCTTAATACGTTCCAAATGGATAGATACGCAAGGACGAAAGACGAGGCGAAGACCTTCGTGCGATAGTGATCCCATTGTTCATGCACATTGACGTTGGCGAAGAAATCTTTAATGTCACTCAAATAACCCATTTATACAAGTGGGACGTCACGAATCTACGATGACCTCGTCATTCCGCACTTGATACTCTTGTATCGGTGATAGTAGATGTATCATTAATATAGAGAATTTAATTGTGGGATCAAGGAAAAGGAGGAAAAGGAATGGAGACGAATGAGAACCCAAGTATGGACGAAATCAAGAAGATGATCCTATATAGGAATATGGGAAAGGAAAAAGAAGAAAGTGCGATAGAGAAGCTGCATAAGCATGTCGGATAATATACTATTACTTTTCCAACTGCCGTACCGAGTAAAGCTTGCTTTACTCTTCAAGATATATATATATATATATCCATTTCTCGCAATACTTGACACGCGTGTTAAGTGCGCGAGGCAAAACTCGCTATATAGTCTTCTCTCGAATGTATGGCACCAGCCTGTCCTCGGCTCTCGAGATGGAGAGCCGAGGATCGATCGCGTCTCGTGCCTCGTATCTCTCTCGATATGTTAATGAGTCATTTCACGTCTGATTGTCGACCGATTGAAATGATTTGGTATAGCCGATACTCGGAAAGTAATGAGCACTTGTGCGAGCAAAACAGTGCGCTCTTTTCTTTTGAAATTTCCTTCCGTGTAAACTTTCTATAAACTTGTGAATCTGCTTTTGATACTTGGATCAAACTCGAAATTAATTTAATTCATTTCATTTGACTTGACGAACACTTGCAATGAAAGAAAGAAGGTGTATGTAGAAACACAGATAGCAACGAATAGATAGAGAGAATTCCTAAAAAACAAAGAGGTTAACGATCATTATGAGCGAGAGCATGCAAATGCAAGAGCATGCAAGATAGCTCAAGTGAGAAGAATCAAGACGGATGTAAAGCATCGAAAACCGATTCGTTGGCACGAATCCACGGCATCCACGCGTGTTTATCGCAGGGACATGCAGCTGTGTGACAAACGAATCGCAGACGCGTTTCACAGCGGTTTCGGCGATTCTCGAGGATACTTTACGGCTTCCGAGAGTCTCGCGGAGCAATAAAAGCGACGTTATTGGTTTGGTATGATACGGCCATTATCGCGCACATCCTAACGTACAATCGCGTATCACGTGTGACGAAAAAGGGCATAAAAAAGAAAGGGTATTGAATTGAGAAAGATATTGAATTGAATCTCGTAATTTTTGACGTAGAATGTAGATAATAAATACTTTTTATCATTTTCTTTTTATCGTTCAGAAAATGACGATTCAGATTCACTAATGATTCAACCAACCAAATGACACACCCTCCTAAATATAAGATATCTAAATAGATAAAAAGTTAATAATTAACAGGATGGGATTATTTATGTAAGATGGCTGAAAAAAATAAATATCTGCAGTTATCGATGATTTTATAATTTTATAATATTCACATTGTGATAACTAAAGGTAGGTAGTTGAAATATAAATTGTAAGGAATAGGGAAATCAGGGGCGTGTTCGGTTCCACGGGAATCGTACGTTCGTACGTTGATGTGAGAAACGAGGGAGAAGATAATCTCATCGCGTAAAAACCAACACCGTTCTTTCGGCATTGTAGGATGCAACGGATACACAGGAGATGAAATACATTTGATTGTGAAAGTTTATCCTGTATTTAAGAATTTGTACGGATAACACGATGTATCCCCTTATCGCGAGATATTTATTTCAGAAATAACAATACATTATAACGTATAATTACGAATATTACGATATACGATACGATGCCCTTATCGCTGGTATACATTTCGCGCGCGTACACTTTCTTTCATGTCGATAATTATACTGGAATTATAATTATACAAAATTAGTCACTCACGACGAATCGTTTCAATAAAACCTATATAGTTAACTAGACGGTACTTCATTGCGTGCATTCTTGATATGCGTGATAGCAACTCGATAATTTCCATATAAACCGAGGACACTCATAACTCGTAAAAAAACCGTTGAACACAAGTGAATCTATTGCAATTAAATAAATAATTTGCCAAATGTACTCTCCATAGAAAATCAAAAGTATTGAAAGATTTTTTTCAACAAAGTCATGTATGTTCACACACACACACGTATGTTCTCTCCCCCACCCACCTTTCCCCTCTCCCTCTCTTTCTTTCCCTATCGCATAAACCATGTCGCGTACCTAAACCAATAAAATTTTCATTCCTCATTGATGTCTCATTTCTACGCTTCCACATTTCAATCTACGTGCAAAATTGACACGATTGATACATATGTACATATATATATATATATACACATGTGGAGGAATAGAATAGAATCTTATCGATATACGCGCGCAATTAGGATCAATAGGATCGTCCGTGTATAGGCGACATAGGCGTATACCTATCATCAGATGTACGCCGCGACCTTTCATCGATTCAACTGCACGTGCGTAATTCGCGCATGTAACGCCGTTACATCTGCACCTGAAGCAGAGAAGAAATAAAAATCCGCGTATATAGAGAATAAAAGCCGCGAGTTTTCCCTATATATAAGACGATATCGCTATCACTATCGCTATCGCCATCGCGAGTCATCGCGTCATAAAAATAGCGTGACATTTCATCGATCGTGTAACATACTCGTAAAAACGTCGCGACTGTGCCAACACGAAACAACGCGAAAATAGATTTTTGCGAATTTCGATCGTTCAGCCATATCCTACGCATGAGGATCTCTCTCGGAGTACATTTCTACTCTAAGATAATATCATACTAAACAGACTGACCGACCGACGTGACCGTGACGCGCATCAGGCCGCAGATTAATCCCCTGCATATCGAATATGCATCATGAACAGCGTATTATTGTATTATTATATCATTAAATATATGTCGTATACACTTTTTACCTGAATGCGTACATTGAGATTCGAGTTTTACGATTTTTACGTATCGTGAAAATATTACCAAGGACGTGAAATAGTTGCACAAAAATATCTGGTAAACGAATGAAAGAACCGACGAAAGACACAGCGATTTGGATTTAATTTACGCGATGCCATTCAAACTGTAATATCGTATCCAATCGCCGCGCCGCGCAGCGCAGCGCCCAGGAGACGACAGTATTATCTACGAAACATGATAAGAACGTGTGCTTTAATTATCTGGCGCGAACACGCTTTCGATGTTAGATGTTATCAATTGGTGCGCGGCGTTAGCACTTTTGAAGCGAATCTTTTTCCGTCAAATATGTACTTTCTTTACAAAATATCATTACTTATATACGCTACGCTGCTCGTTCAATCGGATATATACATATCGCTTCGACACGTCCGCGGCGCTATGCATCAGAGATAAAATGTCATGCAGAAATCAAAGTCTGCGTAGACAATTTTGCGCTGCATTTTGTCGGGACAGATGGTGAGAGAATGCCCTATGCCCTATGTCCTGTGACAGACTACGGTGAGTCTGAAAACGTCATCAGAGCAAGTAAGCGGAAAGATCGAAAATTGCTCACCGATCGATCTTGTCCATCGTGGTGGGATGATGCAAGATGGTTTGCTGCCCCGTCATCTCGACGACACATTGCGTACAGAGTTCCAGCTCTGTAACGAGAGAAAAAAAATATATATCAATCGGGATAAACGGTTTAGGTCGCTGTTAACTGAAAAATAACTTGCTTGCGTTATCTCTTTCTGTACCCAGATTGTACCTTGGATCAAATCAACACGGTTTAAATATGAAGGGTACAAGGGAAAAACGATCAATGTCCATCCGGAATATAAAACGATTTCGAGAAAAACACAATTTTTTAAGTTTTAAGACATCAGATATCTTAGGAAGTTATTGAAAATTTCCTCAGCACGGCACATCTTTCGGCCTTATATTTCCAACGAATTGTAACTATTCTTGATTAAAACAGATAAGAATTATTCAAATTTGAATAATTCTTTGAAAATATATCACAAGATAGCACGATCAGATCAATTTCGATAAAAAGTGGATTTTGATCTTCGTTTTTCCCCTTTTTTTTTACTCTTTACATATTTCTTCTTTCTTTTAACACTTGGAGTGCCAAGCTAATTAAACCGGATAAATATCTCATATATTATCTTAATATATATTTTATTGCTTCGTTTAATGTCTCAATAAAATTTATATTATTTCTTTATATATAATCATGTCTTAAATATTTAGTAAAATTATTCTTAATCGGGTAGATAAGATCCCCAATTCACTCACAAATGGATGAGTGATGACGGGGTCTTTGCGGAAATTTACGCGTCATATCCAGACATGGCTGACATGGCTGACTCAAAGTGTTAATCATTGGTAAAATATATATTCAGAACTGCACGAGAACTTGTTTAAAATAATTAAAACTATTTAGAATCGATCACAGCACCTCACCTTCGTTCTCACTTATATAAAGACGACTTCTTTCGAGCGTTTTAAAAAACATAAAAAAAATTTTAAAAATATATTTATCGTCATAACTCTTTCTATAGAAGAGTGTGTCACGTAGAATTGTAAATCTTTCAAAATCTACCAATGAATGTTACAAAAGAATTCCCGGGATAGAGTGCACTCATGTGGCGTCTCAGTTTGTCCGAAGGTATTTTTGGTGCTTTTATGACTAAAACTATTAAAAATAAAGCCAGCACTCTCGATACTTGATGAATTTCCAAAATTAGTATCCACAGCTTAACACATTGTTAAAAAATTATTAAAAAATTCGATCAAATTAATCAAGATTTTATTAAACGCGACCACACAGCTGGGATTTGCGCAACTTTTAATCAACTCATAAGTCTCATAACTGTAGAACGTGTCGTAACGCATACGTAACGATACCCATCGCAATGAAACGATCGCTCAACAGTTTACTAAGTTTTGATAATAAAATGAGATAAAAAAGGATAATAAAAATCCATCGAAAAACGATAATGTCGGTAAATCATACGGCTGCAGGATCCCCTTAACTCGACACGTGAAAAAAGACACGAGGAAATGTGTGAAAAGAAAATATTAGAAACACGTATTTGTACATCTTAAACCTTCAGTCTCGAGAATTCGCCAAGTCGACATCGACAGTTGTTCGTTGAATATGCAGCCGATAGATATCGCCAAAATGCAAAATGCAAAGAATGGAAAAATCGCGAAATTGAAATGAAAAAATTATGTGACGATAAATGACCTTTCACTTTCGCGCACAGACGTAAAAGTTAATTTTTTTACCACGAGCTTTCTCATTTGCTCATCTCAATCACGAACTCTATGTGTGTGCCGTCTGGGTTTATCTATTATATTATAACAGTCATTTACAATGATGAACATATCTTGTTCGGCCGATTGTTCGACAATAGAAGGAAAATGAGTTACGTGAGGAGTATCGTAATAAAAAAATTTCAAAAAGACAGTATATTTTCAAATTTACAAGCTATGAAGCTGTATGAAGCTGAAATATAGAAATAACGAAAGCGCAGTGATCTCTTGTTTCTCTCATCAAAATAGTCTAATCGGGTCAGTTTACTCTAGAGACCGTTTCTCTCTGTGCAAGTGTGCACTTTCTCTCCAATGACGTTCTTGTTCTTGTGCTCGCCACTTGACGTCCAATGTGCTGCACCATTTATCTTTCGCGACTCGCGAGACCAATCCATTTTTGACGATATATCGAAGAACGATCTGTCGAAGCAGTCGAAGGATTAACAGGACCAAGCCAAGGCCAAGAATCAGATCAATCAGATTAATTACGTTCGCGCGCAACCTTTGCGCTACCTCGACGATTGAATATGAAATCGTTAAAGCCGCGACGGTAGGCGGTAGGCGGTATAGGAGTAGAAGGCAGGGAAATGACCGCGACGGTAACTACGATCGTCGATCGGTTAAGAAAGGGGATGATGACTCATAAAAGTAGGTAGAAAGCAAATGGCACGAGCTTCTTTGTACGCCGCGCCGCGCCGCGACGTAGCGTCACGTAGCGCTTGTTACATGCTGTAACAAGTACATCGAACGCGTCGTGTCGCGTCGATTCAAGAAAGTCAAGAGTACGAGATGATAGAGAGAGTGCAATGCCAATCCAAGGCGGGTGCAAGTTTGATTATTGGCTAGATATTAATTAACATGCATCATTATAATACTTTATTGGGGATACCTCAGCGTTAATAATGCTAATATTGTGCTTTATGCTTTACGAAGCTATTCTCAAGACTTATCATCCGCGTGAATTGGCGAAAATCTATGACACGTTAACTTGTTGTTGACAAATTATTATTCGTCGTAATTGCGATGCAAATCAAGACGTCGCGGCGTCGCGTCGCGTCGAGAAGACGATTTGCGATCGAAGTGCACCGCATCGCCACATTACCGCATGCCCGACACTTTCTAGAAATACTACGTATATATACTCTAAATATTTTTTACGCGCGTCATCCCGACAGGGACAGCTTTCGACTTGGACGTTATTTTTTCAATTCAACGTACTTAAAAGTAGTTGGACGAAAAGTAGGTAGCGGTAAGGTAAGAGGTTGCTATTTACGCAACCTACAACCTTATCGAGTTATCGTAATTTACAAATAACCGTAGGAAAGAGGAAAGAGGAAAGAGGGGAGAGGCTTTGATTGGAAAGATTGGAAATTTTTGAATTGGTGGCTCGCGATAGAGCTCGATGACAAGAGGAGAGATATTGGGCAGATAACGACACGAGTCTGGCGAGAAATAACGAGAAGCATACACCCGCTGGCTACACCGCCGCGCCGCGCCGACACCGCGTCGGCGTCGTGTGAATTAAATCTTACGAGCGCGAAAGTTTGGTGATTAACACGCGCGGAAAAGAGAGGGAAAATTACGCAACCTTATCGTAGAGAATCGCGTTACTCCGTTTTCGCTCCTCGTCACGTTCGCTTCGTTAATTAAAGTCAGCGCTAAAAACTCGACGGGCGCGCGCAGGCAGAGAGGCAGGTGACAGGATGACGCCAGCGTCATTATTCCGGATGGATAATAATGATTAATGAAGTAACGTGTGACACATGAATATCATCAAGAGCCGATCAACGATGAACGCGTGTAAAAATTCAAAGAGCAAATCTGACAATGAATCGAACATCCGCGATGTTGTCGCACACGCGGAAGCGCGAGATAGTTTAACAACAATTGGAAAATGGTCTTGTCTCGTTGTCCGATCCTCGATCCCAAAGACATCCCAGGGATTACGCGTTTCCCCGACCCCGATCGATATTCCAAGGTCATCGGACTAATGTCACTCGAGCGTGACGTTTTACTCTTTACTCGGTTGCGCGCGACAAAGCTCTCTCGCGCTTTGTCACGCACTTGACGCCTCGCTCCGTCTTGAGTGTCTTGGTCGGCGGCACTGCAGAGACTGCAGGGTCTTTCGCCTTTATTCTAAATCTAAACTGTCATCTACCAACGAAAGGCATTTTTCACCCGCTCGAAATAATCGTGTCGCACGTCGGGAGGATAAGATAATTGGCGAATCTCGAGAAACTTGCAACTGCCGTTCGGACCTTCGGACCTTCGGAGTTTCGAACTCGACTAACTTGTCTAATATATATATTTTCTACGCAACACACCAACACAGTGGTGCAGAACGATTTTCGTCCCGGATTGCCCGATGCCCGATGTCCGACTTCCATTTCGCCTTGTTAGTCACTAATTCTAAGGCGAAATGGAAGAGTCAGTCAGATGCGTTCAGCGTTCAGCGTTTAGCGACAAGTGTATAGGTGTTATGGCTGGCGCGAAGAGCCCGCGAATCTCGTGACCATCGAGCATCATTTCAACATTTTGCGACTCGGCGACGATGGTCCTTGAGCCTGCCTCGCAACTCGCAACTCGCAACTCGCAACACGATACCCCGCTGGAGCGCGCGTCATCGTAATCGGCCGAGACTCGATAAAACGATAACGCGCGCGCGCGCGAGAAAGAGAGAGAGAAAGAAAGAGAAAGAGAGAGTGGCAACGCGGATCGAGCGGAGCGGAAACCCTGTGCGCCTGTCAAAAGACCTGTCCATTGAGCTCCGTTGAGCTATCGGGCCATTCGGGCCCTGCGATATAGAACCGAGGGTCAATTGCATTTTTTTCGTGGAGGGTCTTTGGCCATGTTCGATCCCCGAAATAAAATCGCGTGGCGCGAGGCGAGGCGAGGCGGGGCAAAGCTCCGTTGGAAGCAGAGGCAGAGGCGCAGGAGGGACGTCAAGAGATACGTACCTCTGCGATTAAACGGCCGGACCCGTACGGCAACCTTTATTTTATCCGTAGCCATGACTTTTGCACACACCGGTACGCGCGCACTCGCGTATCACTGTCACCCGCGATCCGCGAAAAACCGTCCGGCGCGCGATTACGCCTGCACCTGATTACGTCTACTCTCGCACGCGTCGCACATTATTCTCCGCTACATTATTCTCAACCCGACCCGCGAACCTGTCATCTTTCGAACGACACTGCGTCTGACTGCGTCTACCGTCTACTCCGAGCCACCCGTGACACACTTCGCCATATTGCTTAAAGTCCCTCGTCAGCCGTCAGCGCTGAGAGCGCAGCGCGCTGGACAACCAGACAACACGGTCATCCAGGCCGCCGCTATCGAGGCTATCGAATGATAGTGTTTTCGAGAATCGCCGTTAGGAACGCTCCACACGCTCGTGCGGCTCGTGTATGACTCGTATCTCTATCGCCGCCCGTCGGCGTCGTCGTCGTCGCGATCGGACTAAAGTCACTATACACCGATTTCTTTGGATCAGCCAATAATGGGCGCGTTCAGCAGACCAAGCCGCTGAGTAGCAGTCGAACGTGATTGGACTTTACTTTTAGAACCAACCAATCAACGCAGAGTGTTGATAAGACGAACTCAACAGTTGTGTCTGCTGAACGCGGCCAATGAGACTTATTTACTAGTTATTTACTATTTGATACGCGTATCAGAGAGAAGCCTGAGAGAGGCCACGGGCGCGATTTCGCTGTAACTTTATTTTGAAGC